AGCTTATTATTGAGCATATTATTGTCTCCGATGAATTCAAACATACTGTCTTCTAGTTCCTACTTTGTGTAATGCTCTGTTTGCTTGTATGTGGAAGAGTATAGGACGTGTGACAGGCAATGAGTTTTTGTCCATATCATCAGCAGTGAAGTCTTGGTTCATGATCTTTTATTTTCTGATCCATGTTAGCTATGATCCATGTTGTTTTTAAAAAGATGAACTGAGCATCTTTTTGGGCTGTTTTTCAAGAACTTTTAAAAATGTTGACTTTTTTGTTGATGTCAAGAAGCTTGAATGCATGTTTTGTTGTGTTTCAAGGAAAGAAGCCTCATGAGCTACTAGGGATCAATATTAATGAATATTTACTTTCAATGTAAAAGGTTTTGTCTAAACAAATTGTCTAATTCAGTTTGTCTGTTAAGTTACTTTGCAAGTGCTTCTGAATTGTGATATGAATCCAGATAGCTGAATGTCAGGAGAGCTATCCAGGTACTCTAGGTGGGACTGTTCATTAAGAGGCAAGACATTTTCTTTTAACATTTAACATAAACAGTTTTAACATTTTTGTTAAGTGTATGTGATAATTGTCACTTCAGGAAACACCCTCAGCAAAGATCATGCAATTTCAGAGGAGACATAAAAAGCCAGATGCAAATTGCATTTAAATTTGACTGACCAACTGATATGATGCTCTTCTACTCTACTACTCTTCTACTAAATTAAATGTGGTAAACTTTTTTTCATGGCAGTCATAGTGGTCTTTTGTTGCTGTAGATTTATCAGCATAGAATTTCTTCTGACATACAGATGCATGGCACTTCACATGGAAAAAAATCAGCAAAGGTATTTTTGCTGGTCTAATTACATTCAAAACAACTTATGTCTTATTAGCTGAGGGAAAAGGAGCCTAGAGCAAATTTTTAAGAGAAAAAGTATTAGGTCAGTCTGACATCTGCTGTGTGGGAAAACATTCCTTAGGAAAATGGGACTGTACACTATCTGGGATCTTGTAAAGAGAATTAAACCTAAGAAATTGTTTGTCATCATCAATGATGGTGTATCAGCACTAGTACTTAACGACATAGAATAAAGAACAATGTTATATCAGGGAGAAAGTACGACATTGTTTTTCTGGGAGAGATTTCTGTGATAAAACTTACTGGGCATTATAATTATTTTTCTGTGACAAATGCTTCACAGTATCTTATCAGAGAGGTTGAATTAAGTCATTTTTATGACTACTTTGTCTTACCATCTTCAAGTTCTCAGATGATCATTTACCTTCGAAAAAAATGAAGAGCATGCATAGTAATATATTATGAGATGAGATGCTATATATGCAAAAACTAATATATGTTTTTCTCTTTGCATGAAATATTACACAACTTAAAATACCCCTTCACCCTCAGAGAGCGAACCATTTCCTGCGATGTTACTGGACTAGACTTGGCTTGCTATGGTGCAAGAGGGGCATCATTGCTGCTTGGTGGAAACCCCTTACATTTATTTCTGTTCCTTACAGTTTCTTGCTTTTTCAGTTATAGTATTAGTGAGCATTTATGCTCACATTAACAAGACATATACGTAATAGGTTTTATATTGCCAGATAAATGGGGGTCTTCTGATCGATTACCAACATGTACCTGTTGTTTCAGATCATAGAATTATGTCTGGTTGTGATGTGCCAGATCTAAATCACTCACATTTTTGGTACTACTCTTTGTTAATAATAATGTCAGGTATCGTTAAAAATCAATGTCATCCTCTTAAATTCTGTGAATTGCAATTTTGCTGACATATGGCAGGGAGCAGTGACACTTGTGTATTTGATTGAATTTGTACCGAAATAAAAAGTGAAGTCCAAATGAAAAATTTCCGTAGCTGGGACATCTGGATGATTACTTTTGCAAACCCTTACTTTCTCACAGATTGTTCTATTCACTCAGTGGAGATGCTATGAAGACTCCCGTCTGTTTTTTCCACACAATTTGCCATAATAAATAGGGCCTTTTATGTTCAAGAAAGACTATTTTTTTTTCTTTTATATGAAGATTAACTCTATAGCAAGCTGCTGTTTATTGATACACTTAATGACTCTGAATTTATTTTAATGTTTATTCTGTTTCTTTAAAATCTCCTATAGAGAGGGAAATTGATTCGCAAGCCTGATATCAGCGCATTTGTAGCTTTTAAACAAACAGAAATCATGGCTTTTTAAATAATTATGCAATTCAAGGCTATTTTTCTTCAGCCCCCTGTTGGTTTCAGTTTTTACCTGATTCCATGTTTTGTCTAGGGGAGCTCACTAATAAAATGATTTATAAGAAGTCTGCTGTTCCAATGGTCTTACTGCATGTAGCTGGCGTAAGGTAGCTGGAAAGATAGGGTTGCTTCCTACACTGCATTCCTCATTCCCCTGACAATGTCTTCCATTTTTTCCCCATGTATTTATAATCATTGAATTGTAAACTTCACTAGTGGTTATCTCCTTTTATGATTGAGTGACTCCTGATGGATGAGGGAAAGGCTGTTGATGCGGTCTATTCAGAAAAGCCTTTGACACTTTCTTCCACAGTATTCTCCTGGAGAAGCTGGCAGTCCGTGGCTTGGGCAGATACACTCTTTGCAGGGCCCAGAGAGTGGTGGTGAACAGAGTTAAATCCAACAGATGACCAGTCATGAATGGTGTTCCCCCGTGGTCCATACTGGGGCCTGTCCTCTAGTTTCTGTGTTGATGACCTGGGCAAGGGGATTGAGTGCACTCTCAGAAAGTTTGCAGATGACACCAAGTTGGCAGGAAGTGTCAATCTGCCTGGGGATAACAAAGCTCTGCAGAGGGATCTGGATGGGTTGAATGGCTGGACTAAGGCCATTGGGATAAAGTTGAACAAGACCAAGTGCCGACTGCTACATTTTGACCCCAACAACCCCAGGCATTGCTACAGGATTGGAGCAGAGTGACTGGAAGTCTTTGTGGAAAAAATTGACCTTGGGGTGTAGGTGGACGCTCAACTAAACATGAGCCAGCAGTGTGCCCAGGAAGCCAAGAAGGACAGTGGCATCGTGGCTTGTGTTGCCAGCAGGAGCAGGGAGGTGATCATCCTTCTGTGACCAGCCCTGTTGAGGCCATACTTGAGTACTGTGTTCAGTTTTAGGCCCCTCACTGCAAGAAAGACATGGAGGCCCTAGGAGTGTGTTCAGAGAAGGGCAGTGAAGCTGGTGAGGGCTCTGGAGCAGAAGTCTTATGAGGAGTGGCTGAGGGAACTGGGAGTTGTTTCCTCTGGAGAGGAATCTCAGGAGAAACCTTACAAATGCCTGTAAGGAGGTTGTGGTGAGGTGGATGGTTGGACTAGATGATCTAGGAGGTCTTTTCCAACCTAGATAAATGTATAATTCTGTGTGATTCTAACACAAAACATCCCAAACACTTTTTATATTTCTTCTGGAAGAGAGAGATTGGTATATCAATTTTATCTTTTTGATTCTGAAAAAATATTGTCTCTGGTAATTCTTCCATGAGGTTTATCCTGAGTATCATGGGTATTACGTTTTCTTTTCTGATCTGTGTGACTGTTTTAATTTCTTCACAGATTGAAATAGACTTTTTTTTTTTTTTTTTTTTTTTTTTTTTTTTACGTAATGACCATCTTTCCATTTCGATGTGCTGTATCCAGCAAAATACACACATGTATTTGGTGGTTTCATATGTAACCTTTATGTAACTTCTTCATTACATTTTTTCTTTGTAGTAAAGTAATTAACCATTAGTTGCAGGGCATGAGTTGCACATGGGTGTGTCTTGTATTATACAAGCAAAAGTGCAGCATTATGTATGTATGGGAGACATAATGTTGGGTCAGAATTTTACATTTGTAAAATTCTGCTCAGCCTATAAAATTGCATTGTTGAGGATGTCCAAAAATGAGTAATGTTTTTTACCCATGTAAATATGCTCTTCTCAAATATGCCTCACTTAGAGTTCATTTCGGAAAAAATATGGCTGATACTAAGTAGCTTAGATGGTATTATTATGTCTGTATTTAACAGAGATATATCTTCTCTAGAGAAGTATCCAAATATGCATTAATAAGACCAACAAAAATAAACATATTATCTTTCCCTGTAAGATTAAATCTGTTTGATGACTTAAAATTAATTTGCAAAACTTAGTAATTCCATTTCTACTATCAAAGGAAAAGTATACAAATAGGTCTCTTTGTATTTTCAAAAAGACATAAACAACTGCAGGGTAAGGAAGAGTTTAAGCTGCTTTTGGTGTGGTTGAACTAGAAGCTGAAACTTCCTGTGGTAAATGCATTCTTGTATAACTAGTATGCAGACTTTTAGCTCAAGCTCTGTTATTGCACCTATGATTATCAGTGCATATTTAAATTGCACAAATGAGTGCCAGTCTGCATTTGAAACAAAAGACATGGTAGCATAGATATGTCTGTAATCTCTGTGTTCTTAATGCATTATGAAGTGACCGCAGTGATATTCTCATAGTCTTATGATTACAAGATTTTTCTTCCACATCCAGAATATTCAACAGGAATACTTTTGAACAGAAAATCTCAGCTTATTCACTAATTTGCTTACATATGTAGGGCATCATTGGTGTATCTTTGGTAGTAAAGAGCCTTTACTTCTCAAGATTTGAAATGCTATCAGTTGTCTCAATGAATTGGAATATAGATGTAAGAGAATTATACATGACCCTTTTGTTCAGTTGACCTGTGAACTGAATTGTGGAATTTAGGAAACTTTGTATTCTTAGTAAGACAGGACAGAAGTGTTGAATACTTTATCCTAATTTTAATCAATTTTTATGTCTTGGAGTTCAAGACTGTAAATACACTCCAGTCCTTAATGTTATTTTACAGAATTATATTAGAAATTTTTCTGTACAACAGTGCAACGGTTATTTGAATCACAATATCTTGTTGATTCAGTGAAGAAACTTTCAGGTGTGCCTAACTGTTTGCTTTGTTTCTTCACAGATGAATCGACTCCTAAAGAAGTCAGCAGGGTAAGTGCTGTTCCCCATCCCCTCTAGAAAGAATTATAGTCAGTCCCTTAGGCCCACTGTTCACTTGAGGTGATTTTCATGCATCCTCTGATCAAGGTTTTATTCTGTTTCCTGTACTAACTGGATCTCTGGGGGAAAAGTTGGTGTACTGACTGACTAAACAACAATTAAGAACAAAAATAAATATTAAAGCACTTGATTGGCTGGAAATAAATTAAAGGGTATTTTGTGTTAACAAATTGAGAGTTGTCACAGTGCTATTCTTGTGATCCAGTTTTAAAAAAGGAACTTCACAGAAACCAGGAAAATCCCTTAACTTGGAGTTTAAGAATAACTGCACTGTCTTATTGCCTTGTGAGATAGTGAGCATAACAATAAGAAACAAAGGAAGGAGTACGTCCTATCTAATTACTCCCTTTGAGATGTATTTTGGCACAGATGAGCTCTATTATTTAATTTGAAGCATTTTGCAGCGTACTATATGAAAAGTAATATAAAATACATATTCAGTAATAAATTTTCTGGCTCTCGCCCTCCATCTGATTGTTACAGTGTTTTGTAGAATCTTTCTATGGCTGAGGCTAAATAGAGAGACCTGTTAGAAACTAGTGCTCTTGCTAGGGAATGACAAAACGTCAAAACAGGACAACTTGTTGCCCGCATATGTGTCTGGTCAGCCTGAAGTGCCCAGATTTAAAATTAGGGAGCCACTTGCAGCATTCTAGGGTAGAGTCATAGTCCTGTTTTGTTCTTCTTCTTGAATTTTTTCATAAGCTAACTTGTGTTTGGGGGGGGAAATGAAATATTGCCAGACAAATACTAGAAACAAGGCTGGTTGAATACCTGTAAAATCAGGCTGAGTGCCTTGCTGTCAGGGGAAGTCCTGTAGAAAACTTTTGGATAAATAATGGAAAAAATGGAAAAAATAATGGAAATGGAATGGCAGCAGAAACCTCACTTTGGTAACCGTGAATGCAGAAGACTGCATGAGACTACAAAAAAGAAGTTGAATGATGTCTAAAATGAGTTTATGCCAGCAAAAGTTCTCTATGTTTGTGGATGTGCTTTGGATGTATAGTTGTTGAGAATGCAGGCAAAAGGTAATGCTTAAGTAGTTTATTTATAACTATTATTATTAATTATGCCTAATTTCTGACCTTTAATTTATAATTGATGGCCTCTAATAGTTCCTTAATATTTAACAGTTACAGTAGTTAAGTGAATACCTACTGGAAATGCACCAAACTACGAACAGACACGTATTATTTTATAGTGTTTTTGAATAGTACAATGTAGACCATTGCAATACATCCTCTTTCTTTAGCAGTAACTCAAACAGATGCTGCTTTAATTGAAATCTGAACATAAATTAGTATTTAAATTAGGAAAGTTCTTTACATGAGTAATGCTTCTCGGAGGAAAAGACATGTTCATGCTGACTGATGAATTATGAGTTTTAGTCATTAAGTGCTACATTTTTAATTCCTGAAAATGTCTGCATGAAGAAACTGTTATCTGCATCACAGAGAAGCAAAAGTCAAGGGTAGCAGAATGAAATGTATTGCAGAATTAAATCACCAAATAGGTTTAAGCCATTATGTTAGTTAGTAGAAATGGTAGAAATATGCTGAAAGCATATGCTTTGCATAGCTGTGTTTCCCCCCTCCCCTCAATTTTTCAATAAAAATACTAAAATATTCATAGTTATATACTGTGACTTTGGTAGCTTCTTTAGTCCCTTTTTTTGTTGTGCTCACACAGGACAATAGAATTAAATTGAGGGAAGATGTTTTTCATTAAATGCATCTAATCATTAAATTATTAAATTCATATTTTTTTCTCCCCCAAAATCTCACTCTTTTTCTTTACAAACGTGCAGGTTCACAGGGTTGTTCTAGAGTTTCTGAATACCAGTGAGGTGAAAGAGAAAAAAATCAGTTTTGTGATTCCTGTGGGCTGCATTTGCGGGGAAGAAAAATCTGGTTACAAAATAGCTTGTGAGCATCTGTGACCAAACGGTGAACCTGTGAACTTTTCTCTCTATGACAGATTCCAGTGTTTATGAAATATATATAACTGGGGAGAGAATCCCCTTTTCACGTGATGTAGCAATTGAGAACTTCCTTGGAAATGCTGAATATCCTCTGCTAACTTACTGTGCAGATGTGTGCTGGCAGATGCTGTCCTAGCTACAGAAGTAGATTTTTAGGTAGAAAGAAAACCAAATACGAGCTATTTTAATTAAGAAAACTTGGTTTCCCTGTTTTATCTGCTAAAGAAAAAAACAAAAAAGGAATGTGAGTTTGGGCATTAAATGTGGATGTGTTCATGTGTGCCTATACTTAAGATACATTCTTTTGACAGTATTAGTGAAAACAGTGTGCACAGGAGACGTGTTATTCTTTTGAGTTGGCAAAAGTTACTCCATTCCTACATGAACTATCGCCAGGATTTTGTTCTATGTGCTGTTAGTTTTCCCATGATCACTGTGTGTTCTTTTGTACCTCAGATTACGAATTTTAAAGAAAAACACTTGGTGTTCCTGATACGATCACAGTGAAATTAGCTGTTGTTCATTTTACTTAATGACTTTCCATTCCATGTTTACTAAAACAGTTCTTCTAGTGAAGATGCATTTTGGCAGTACCTAAGCTTTGTAAACTCTGGTGATGCCAACAGCAGTTCACTTTGCAGGTTTGCCATATAAACACGAGAAAATTATTACCTAGCAAGTGACTAGCTCATTTACAGTACTTTATTCTTGGAAGCAGGAATAATACTTTAATCCTCTCCTTTCCCCTTTTTGGACTTGGAACTTATGGTAGTTGCCTTGGCACCAGCTAGCACCCAGCACAGCGTGTCACTGACAGTTACAGAATTAGCAAGCATGTTTTCAGTAAATAGTTTCAGTAATTGCATGTATCTGCACAGTGCAACTGATAACAAAAATTTGATGTCTTATGACACATTGGCAAAGAGAGTTCATTCTTTGTAGTATTTCCTTATTAAAGACATGGGAAAGCAAGCTCATTCTTTGTAGTATTTCCTTATCAAAGACTGGATATTTAAACCTTGTTTTACTGTCCTAGAGCTAATACTGTAACAAATTAATTAAAAAGTTGAGAGAACTAGAGCAAACACTCAGCCTTTAGGAATGATGCAAATGGCATTGCACCCACTGACACAAAAAGAAGATGCTTGTGTAAGTTGATTTATTTTATAAGTAAAGTCTCTCACATACTGTGATAGTGATGAGCAATAGTGGTAGGAAAATGAGGAAGTTTATTTTTAATTTTGTACAGAATGTTTTTAGAGTGCTTGCAAGTCGGCTATTAGGAGGGAATGTGATTTTATAAAAAGATTTTTAAGAATAGAAGTGTTATTCAGCCCTGTCAAGTTAAAATGAAGCTGTTAATTGACATTATGTTGTTTTATTATTTAATATGGAGAGGTGATGTAATTAAGATATTTGTGCAGTTTTATGAGCCTTACCATTAATAATATGGATACTTCTATATATTCGTAATGTTCTGCTCTTATAAGTCAAGCCTTTGCTTTTCATTATGTGTTTTTCCTATTACTAGTGAAGCAATTTATTTCAGTGTTACTGTTTGATAACAGGGAAGGAGGTGATGGAAGTATTTGAATGAGATCCCTGCAAACGTGGGCTTTTCAAGTAGTTCTGCTAGGAAAATTCTTGCTATGTCTAGTGAGCTTGTAAAAATGTGTTTTCAAAACCTGTGAACCTTTTCCATGCAGAGTAAGAGCTGTTTTGCATCTTTAGCCATAATAACAGGGCTTGTCTCACCAACTGCCATTTTGTGTTTTCCCCTTTTTGGTTTTGTTGTGAGCAGTGTTTGATGTGTGAACAAACAATACATAAATACCTGTCTGTGTTGCTGCAATGCCGAACTCTATTTACAGAGCAAGTTACAACCCATGTCCTCTCCAGTCAAAACAAGAAGAATAGACGTCAGACAAATGCGTGTAGAAGCAGCTTTCTCTGAGGCAATGTACAAGTATTAAAACTAATCTCTTCAGCTAACTCTGCTCTTTACAACTTCTTGCTTTCCAATGTCCAAGTTTAAACAAAAGTAGTTACTCTTGCCAATCCTAGTTACGCCTCCTAGTTACGTCTTTTTGGAGCTGAGAGATTTTGCTGAGCATTCTGTCCAAGCTGTGTGATTTTTGAAAACGATTTCTGTCTTTTAAACTTGCCACGTTTTTTTTTTGTTTCATTTTTCAGTTTGAGGATTTGAGGATTTAACATCCATGGGTCAGTATCTCTACCCCAAAGCAAACAGTCTGTTTTATTCCCTTTCTGTGATTTTCTTATCGCTCCTTTTTTTTTTTTTTTTAACGAGGTCTGGACCTCATTGGTTCTTTATACGTGCAGTGTAGATGTGTTTTCACTGTTTTCGGAACAGTTATCTCCGTTATGCATGCCCAAAAGGAAAAGTACCAGTTTCTGTACAAGATGTAAACTAGCTCTTAGAGCACCTAAACAATGAAAAATCTTGCAGTGTGTGAAAGTAGAAGCCTATAGGAGCTGACTGTACATATAAACATATATATCAAAGACGTATGCCACCTAACCTTCATGCATATTACAATAAACTGAATAAAATTGAGTGTCATTTTCCCACCTTCATTAGTTTATTTAAGTAAACATTTTGGGTTTTCCTAAAGTTTCTTCTTTCATTATACAAGTTGGTCATCAGAAATTCAGTAAGAGTACTATATCTAAAATACAACCAGTATTTATTTTCTCACTTTTTTTTTTTTTTAATAAAATTGTTGTGGAGGCAAGAATATGATGGAGGTTAAAAATACATTTACTGCCAGGAAAAATAAGCAAATGGTCCCAAAATTACTTAACTGATACTATGGTTCTTTTAAAAATCTACAGTAACTGAGCATTAATGTCCTTCCCTGAAGTAGTTTAGGGATCAAAGTTATGAAGGGAACTGGAAAATTAGATAGAGTGAGATTGTTAAATC